GTCAGTGTAACCAAACTTTCGACCAACCCTGGCTTTTTCCCCGTTACTCACTCCACCCGCCAGCCGCCAGTGGCTCCACGACACCGCCGAGTTCCCGGAGCTACCATGATACGAACCAATCACACCCCCTTCACCTAACTTCTCATCATGCCCTGTCCGGCACAGGATGTGACGAGGAACATCTAACGTAGGCCACGGTGGGTCGAAACACACGGTGACGCGAAACAGCCTAAGTAAAAAGTACCCTTAGTAAGCAAAAGCTAGTGTATTTGCCACTTGTTTCGTATCACCGTGTATTTCGGCTCACCGTGGGATACGTTACCGGTATTCGTCAATCACAACTGGCCAAGACTCAGCCACACAACCACAGCCACAGCCACAGCCACTAGACATGATCCCAGTAAGGCAGCCATGAAGCCCCCCAATCGCGATACTGACAACGAAATATTGAACACCTGCATTGATACAAAACACCACGTCTTTAATCATGAACCTACGATAAGCATGGAATACTACCAAAATAGGCCTGGTTCTCACCATAAAGGCCCGGGCCGAGCGCGTTCCCTCGCGAAATTCGGGACTGGGACTAATTACGATGGAAAAGTCCCATTGAGAGATTGGTAGAATTGGTTGGTAGGGTCGAGCCTCCAGTACTCTGTTGGTACCGTACTCGGGTAAGGAATGGGAAAGTTGGAGTGGAGTGGAGGGGGTTGTGCGCTTTAAATATCATGCAGGGATTCTGGTCCGACGCGATCGCGACGGGGAATATGTTAATCTGCTCCATCGGGTATGGTATTTTCCGAGATGGTATGGGAGGACTAGCCACCACCCTAGAAATCTAACCTTACGTAATCTTCCTGGCGCGACGCCGTAAAAAAAATCCCAAGCACTGGTACTCGTACCCGATGGGGTCCCGGTATCGTACTCGACACGCCACTACCACTCCATTCCTTATGATACCTGAAAATCGCCTTCCCTTCCTCCCCCTACCCTGACCGTTACGTACCGTATCCATCGACAGCAGCACGCACCCCTCTACCGGTACTTGTAGAGTACGGTACTCTCCGGGTACGGCATTATGACACCCACTCCTCATCTTTCCCGCACCACGACTCCACACAAAACCTCACACCCCGCTCACAACCGTTAAATGCTACTGTGCTAGTACTATATTTCCACCGCCACCAATAACAATTCACCACCCCCTTTTTCGCACACGAAAACGGGTCCCCCCTGTGGGGTATTCCTACTCCCATGCCACGCAAGCCAGCACCCCCGCACCATCCCGCAAACCAAGCACCAATCGTGCCCGCGGTGTTTCTAAAAGCGATAAACACGTCTACCTTCCATCGCCATGGCCGAAGGAGTACTGATGTGTGGATGAATATGCGGAATACAATGGGAGTTGGTGAGAACTCCTGGGTGGAGTGCCCATGTAGCAACGGGTGAGACGGCATGGGGTGGTGTGTGTGTGTGTGTGTGTGTGTGTGAATATTGTGGGCTGGGGGGGCTATATCCCACGGGGTGCGGTGCGGTGTAGGGGTAAGTTGATTCGTGGGGTTGGGGAAGGAATGGATGAAGGGGATGACACGGCGCGGGTGTAATGGGAGGGGTGGGAAGGGGGTGATGGAATTATAGGAGTGCCTTTGGTGCTGTCTTACTTGCAGAATAGAGTTCAGTGCAGTGTCTAGGAGTGTAGAGATCCAGATGGATATCGGTCATTTGTGGTGTAAAATATGGGTAGTCAGGAAAGTAAAGAAAACCAAATGCCCATCAATTTCAGCATTATGATATAAAAGTTTTACGGGTGAGAGTTTGTGATCAGGTTCCTCACGTGGCATCGGCAGTATTCTGAGGGTTTAAACTGGGACGGGGGGAAACGATCACGGCTAACTTATATCCAGGATGACCTTCCAATGAGCAGAGATATATAACTATCATAGACTCGATACATGCAAACACCCGGGAGATTCCCAACAAAGGAGCAAGCAATCACTGCAGTTGAACCAGCGATTACGCGGCAAAAAATTCCCGCTTCACGTCGACGGCCGATACTGCTGCCGATGATATGCGTTCCCCTGCGGCGGCGCCTGAGCCCCGGTGCCAACCGGTGTGGTCGGCGTCGCGCTGACAGGGTACGGAGGCCTGGTGCCCTGCACCCCCCCACCCGTCGGGTAGGGTGTCCCGACGGAACTAACCGAGGAGACGCTCCCGCTCCTGGCGGAATTCAACCTCCTCAATCCCTCCACTTCGTTCTTGGAGCTGTCCAGTTCTGCTTGCATCTCTGCGAGCCTCTTCTTCAGCCACTCAATCTTCCCGTCCCTTTCCGCCACTCGTTTTCGCGTGGATTCCTCCTCGGATTGCACACCCGTCAGCTTCGTCTTTGTCCAGTCGAGTTCTTTCCGCGTGCTCACTAGCTCCGCTTGTGTTTTGTGGCTTTCTGACTGCGTCTCGGTGGATCTTTGCTTAAAGTAGGCGAGTTCTTTCCGGGTGCCCTCGATGTCCGGGATTTCTTCTATCTCTTCGGCTCGCCCGGCGGTGGAGTTGAGGGCATTCTCGAGAAGGCCTCCGTAACGCTTGACGACCCAGTCGTTCGGGGTTGCTGGGAATGCCGAGCGAGGAATTGAGGTCGTTGGTATGGGTCGCTGTGTCGCCGAATCGATTACGACGCGATTTGGAGTTTGGAGGAAAGAGATTAGACGCTGGTATTCTTCATCCGGGTTTAGCAGAACTTGTATGAACATCCAATGCTCGAACCCATCGATTGTTAATGCTGGTAGCGGGGGTCGGCGTTTTCCGTCACCGATGGGGTGTGGGATCAGAAGATGTTGGCAATTGAGTTTGTTGTAGAGGTCAGTGAGGATGCTGGGATGGGTCTGCGCTTTCGAGAACAGTTCTATGCATGTCAGCTTCGCCCGAGTGGGAGCCAGGACCAAGACATACTTGTTTGACGATCACTATAAGTTAATAGGGTTCCATAGTACATTGACAACTTGGTTGGGGAAAGAATACAGGGTGGCGAGTGATCGACAATACATTCTTTGTTCTACCATTGTTAGCGCACTCCCGGAAAGCGAAGGAGCGTACTCACTATGCATGCTGCAATACCCCGCAACAAGGATCGCATGGTAGGGTTTGGGCCCATGGGTAACTTGGAATCTTCAACAAGCGCATGCCAATACTGGGCATCCGGTTCTGTATTATTCATGACGGCTGGTGATCCCGAGGTTGGGGCAGAGGAATTTCCCTGAGGTGCCTGGCTTGGGGATTGGCCGCTCTGAGCATTGTTCCCGGGATTTGGTAAGCCTTGCGTCGTTGAAGGTTGATTTGAAGTTTGAAGGTGGGTATGACCACTCTGAACATTGTGCCCGGGATTAGGTGAGCTTTGTGTCGTTGAATGTTGATTTGAGCCTGATGGAGGGTGAACATGCCCACTCTGGATATTGTGCCCAATATTTGGTGAGCTTTGTGGCGCTGGATGCTGATTTGAAGTTGAAAGAGTGTTGGTATGTTGGTGGCTCGGGGGATGAGATGCTGGATTGGCCTGCGCACTGGCAAGGTGTGATTGAATTGTGGGTTTATCAGGGCCTGCTCCATAACCACCTTGTGGCGGTGAATATGCTGGCGGAGGAGCAGGGGAATCACCAGTAGGGAAGGTGTTGAATCCTTGGGAGCCCTGATATTGTTGCGGGTGGGAATGCATCGGCGGGGGTTTTTGATGATAGTTTTGCTGGTGCTGCTGATGTTGGAACGGTTGCTGCTGCTGCTGGGTCTGGGGCTGGGGATGCTGCAACGGCTGTTGTTGCTGCTGCTGCCCTGGTATACCTTGCGGCTGATTCGTATCATATTTTCCTGGTAGTGGCACGGCAGGATATTGCTGGGTTGGGGGATTTGCCGGTTGGTATCCAGTGGGTCCACCGACCAAGGGAGAGTAGCTTGGTATCGGGTTGCTGTTGTAGGTTGTCTGCGGAGGTGCGGGCCCAGAGCCGGTCGTGCCAAACCCTTGTTGGGGAAAATAGCCCCCCGGAGTTCCCACAACCGGGCTGGTCAGCGTGGTGGCACCCACATTCGAAACAGGCGTGAAGGACGGCTTTGAGGAGAAAAAATTGAGAGTTTTCAGCATACTTCCGCCGTGCTTATCCGGCGACGGTGGTGGAGGTGAAAACTGGGGAGCCTGATAGGGTTGCTGCTGGTTCCCGGGGGGGTATCCACCGCTGGTATTGATGGCTGGTGGTGCACCAGGGTTACCCCACCCCTGCGAAGGATTTTGTGGTTGATTGTATGCCATGAATGAAGTTGTCGATTATTGAACTGCCCCTAGCCTTGCGCACGAAAGTTGCGGGGGATGCGGAGTTATAAACACTGTGAGGCTGAAAAATGGCGTTCCACAAGGTGGTCGGGTTGGTGATACAGCCGAGCCGTGCGACGCCCCTCTCGGGTTCTTCCGGCCCAGATCAGCTCGAATGGGCTGAGCTCGCTCACCTTATTTCAGTTAAGCTTTAATAGCCTTGGTCTGATTCTCGCTGTTTGACCATTTATTTGATCGCATCGAGAGTCTGTGGCGATTCCGGTTTCTTGTCTTTAGCCCAAATCTCTCAATCGCTGCATTCTACCGCATGGTGCGGTATTTGTACCGCGACGGCCTTGAAGCATCGAAGACACCAAAGTCAAGCCGACCGGCCATGTCCAGAATGTTTCAGTGGCGCTTGGCGCTATGCGTGGATTCGTGGCTTGGTGTGGGGCATGTGCCTCGAAAGCAGAGGTGATACAGTGAAAAATCGCTTAAAACCTCTTCCCCTCAAAAAATTGCCCAGATGCGAATGTACCAGTACTAGTACATGGGCTATCCACACACTCCCAATTTTACAATTAGCAGACCACTGCAAGATGGCTCAGATCTAGCCCTAGCTACTAGCAGTCTTATTTTTTGTAAGAAGTGAAAATTTGGGGGCCTACCGGTGTTGAATATGCGCTTCGAGGTTTTAGGTGGGCGTGGAACAAGTTCCGGGATATCCGGGATATCCGCAGGGGAGGATACTCGAGTACCGGTACTGGATAAAAGCGCTGTGTCTTTGGTTGAGTGGTGGGGCTGCCATGTATCACCGTGGCGGACTATGATAGGGTTAAGTAAGCAGAGGCGGTCACCTACCGGTACGAGTATGATATTCTGTTTCAACTTTTGTTCAGCTTTTAAGCCACTTGTACTGTAGCACGAGTAATCCCTCCAGTAAGGTGGGGTTTGTTGCCGGTAGTCTACCGAGTACGGAGGCCCTTGTACCACAATAGCATGGCAGATACTGTCCTTGGCGTGCACGCTGGCAGAACCTAGGAATGGCAAGGAAGGAAGGAACCTCGCTTACAAGTGCTCAAGTACTCGTACACATCCCGCCAAGCAGTGAGCGCTAGAAATGCCGTACTGTACCGTAGGGTACTCCGCCGAGCTCCCACCTTCATCCTCTTCACTGTCGACCCTAAACCACCGGAGATTTCCCCACGTTTTACTATCATGCAGCCATCGCGGACTCTGGATACCATAACCATGGCGAGTCTTGTGCGAGCATCTTAACGATGGAATAACAGAGAGAGGGGGCGGCGGTTGTCCACAGAGTCTTTGGAAAACGGCGAACGACCTGGCCCTGGAAGATCAGCACGTTCTGTGCCTGAAAGAGAAGGATGCGGAAACCCGAGGGATTGGGACTGGAGCGGTGGGAACTGGCACGGGGAAAGACTTGATAAAATAAAATGTTCACACAGAAAACGTCTTAACACGGTAGTTGGGGATTGGCTTACTCAGTCGGCCGTTAGGGGAGATTGTGAAGGTCGGCCCAAGAGGCGAGGAAGGAAGGAAGGGACTTGTGCGGGTGGGGGGGAGAGCATTACCCCCGTGCTGTATTCGCTTCTCCATTCCCCGTACTCTGGCAGGTAGCTCCTCGTTTCTGAACTCGACTGCTATTGCATACCGCCAAAATCCAACTTGCTGATACTCGCTTAACTCTCGGTTTCATGCGAGGGTGCCCACGCTCGCAAGTGCCATTCAATTTCAAGCACTGTACAGGTACTGCACTGTATATATATCATACCCCCCCGAGCACCCCCATGTCCAGAAGGCGCCCGCGTAATTCACTCGTTTTTGATTCTTGGATACCCGCGTTTTTCTATAATCAATTCACCTCTCTCCCAGGGACCCCAACAGCAGTGCGCCATTTTCTTCGCCTGGTTATTCGCATGATGTGGTGTTTTTTTTTTTTCTTTCAAAGAGTCCCCATCCTTCTGCTTTCCTATTCTATCTTTGGCAATTTCGATTTTAGCTTCTATGATATGATATCTTGTAAAATTTCTTATGCAGAAAGCTTTCGCTAGGGATTAGGAGAATAGCTAAATTATCATAAAAGCTAGGGCACTTTACTAGTAGTTGCGCTTGGCATGATTCCTGAAAACAACTGGACGGGGAAACGTTCGCGGATTCTTGTACAGTACTATCAGGGCACGGTACAGGACCGTCTGTGATTGCTAAGCTAGAGTTACAAAAGATGATTTCCTAAGTGGAAAACACGGGCGAGAAACTAGCTTCACCATGAGAGTTGTCTGGCTGCACCCCATAGGTTAAAAAAAACATCCTAGGGTCATCAGAAAAAGCGAGGACATATTTGCCGCGGGATACCGCACGGAAACAAACCTCCACCCCGGGATCCACTTTCTGACCATACCTCATTAGAACCACCGCAACAGGGTCCAAATCAATCTCGAATAATCAACAATATAATACCGTGAAAAACCCGCCAACTAACCGAATAACAAACCGCAGCACCCCCACCGCCACCAACAAAATACTCTTAATCCCAAGTCTGCTGCCAGCAAAGGGATCTCTGCTGTTTTTCCCGCTAATGGATTCACTTGGACTCTTTTACACCCTTCTCCTTATCATCATGAACCGCACCGATAGCCACCACATCCCCCAGAACAGGGGGCACAACGAGATTTGCCGGGATCACCTAGGTCGGTGGTAGGGCCATGGCCTGGCACGTGCCAGGAGGGCCAATGAAGAGGATCTGGACCTCGTGGTCGTTGGTTGTGGTGGAGGTTTGGGATAGCGTCTTTCTCGAGATTATGGATTTTCAAGTCTGGGATGGGGTTCGTGGTTTTCTTTGTTGTATATTGTGACTCGTGATGGAGGTGGGGTTGTAGGGGGTTATGTGTCCCCTCGACCGCCCCAGTCGTGAGTTTGTGGCACGCCGGACCACTACGGTTGGCCACCGGATGGGACATGATGGGAAGGGGCGCCAGTTTTTAGGGCTGGCCGTGTCTTAGAAATACGGTTTGAGTGTGGTTAGTGGCCACCGGTCACGACCTAGGTTTTCAGATATGAGAGGGGGGGGATTACGGGTTTGATGGTAGAAAGAGCTCAGCCTCGAGACAAGTTTAGATAGAGATATTTAGAGAAACGGACGCCGTGAAAATGACCGAAGGGATTCCTTTATGGCTCGCTGGAACAGACAGCCCAGTGACGGGGGTTAGAAGTTGGAAGAATACTAATTTACCCCCTCACTGCGTGAGATATCACTTCGGTCTCCAGGAGGTTACACTACCTATGATACATTAGCATGCTTTAAGGTCACCAGCAATCACTCGCTACTAGGCGTTTGAGACCGCCGGAAACATAGCTACGGGTATATTTCTCGCCAAGTCACCAGCGCTCCAAACTATTTTCCTTGGACTCCGTTTCTTTCTCCTTTTTTCTCCGCTAGGATTGAACTCCCATCCGCGTACTTTGTAGCCTGCCGGGGGGAGGGTTTGCGTGTCCCGAGATCCCAATACTGACAAGGATTCTTGCAAGTTATGATATCATACGGTATCACAATTGAGATAAAGTCATCAAGGAGGTCCTACGGCAATCTATGTTTAGGTTATCGGGTCAATGCTATCAGGAACCAAATGTGGAGGTTGACTCAGCCGTAGTACGATATCTAAAGAAGAAAAATAAAAATAAAATAAACTATGATACCTATCAACGATTTGGGCGCGACAATCACTGCCTGCAAGACGTTTGAGGCGACATAGAATTCAAGCTATAAACGTTTTTCCTCCGTCCGTTCGTTCCATACGAGATAAGAGGCTACTGATTCTTTGGTGTGGCGCATTTCTTTGGTGTGACATTTAATTTAGATTGGGAAGGCTCGGGGTTGGACGTCTTGCTGAGCGTGGAGTTTCTCACTCGAGGCGTTGCTGATACTTGGCATATAAGTTAGTTTATCACACTATACGGTACTAGCACAAGTTGCCTCGTTATTTCTAGCTCACGCGCGTGGGGGGGAGTCTTCCTCTGAGCCTCGGGAAAACTCTAATGACCTATATATAATTGGCAGCAAAACCAGATTTGGACCACATCACCCGGACTCACTCGCCGAGATCGCGAAAAGTCATGAATTCCCTATGAAACGTAAATCTTCTATGATATGATATCTCGTGTACGATACAAACTCTAACCGTTATTATACTCCAAACTCCTTCCCCCTCTTGCCCCTCCCTTGCCCCCCATGGGTTACTAGCAAAAGAATGGAATAACTCCCACACCTATAGACACCTCCTAATAACGCACAACGCATCAACAGCAACAGCAGAACCCAGGGAATACACAGTTACACCCTAGCGCTCCCAATATAGTACTCACAAAGAACCCCAGTATCGCGAATCCAATGATTTTCCCAATGCTCAAGCCGCCCTTGCCTTTCCCGCCCGCGGGCGCCTCAGTCGCTTGAGAGTCAGCGGTGGAAGAGGAGCTCCAGTAGGGACTCGACGTCCTGGTCGCCGTGGTCACTAACTCGGTCAGTTCCCAATTCATCCCCCCCCTCCCTCCCCCCTCCCTTCTCCCACAAAAACTAGATGAAAGAAAAAAACGTACTAGTGGAACTGCACGTCTGCACCGGGTGCCCATATCTATCCCAGCAGCTAGCCGTCGCCCCGGGCGTACTCGTCGCGCCCGCACCCCCCCCACCCGAAGGCGGAAATAATAACCCGGTGGTAGCGGGGGCGTACTCGAATCCGCAGTACTTCGCCACGAATGCCATCAGGCCGTTGTACTCCAGCACGGTCGCGCACGCCCCGCCGCTCACGCCTTCCAGACACTTTTGCGCTTGCTGTCCGATCTGCGGTTCATTCTGCTGCGGGCAGAAGCAGGCTTTTGTCTCGCAATTCGTGATGTAGAAGATGGAGGTTGGGTAGGCTTGGTTGCTGGGTTCGCCGGCTATGCATTTTTGCTGGCAGCTGCTTAGGTAGGGGTAGTCCGGGAGTCTGTAAACTTCGTTTTGTAGGATTGTGGAGGCGGTTGTTGTGCGGGTGAAGGTGGTGAGGGTTAGGAGGGTGAGGATTGTGCGTAGGCTGGCCGTCATTATTGCTATCGCTATCCGCTGGTTCGTAGGGTTGGTGGGGGGGGGGGGGGTGCTTGCGCTGGGGAGGGGAGGGAGGGAGGGAAAAGAAATGGGAGAAATGGGGAAGAAGTTCTTCTCGGCTTTTAGAATTGTGGTGACGGGAAAGTATTTGATGTTATTATAATTATCGCCTGTACTAGTACTATCCCGTCTACCATACCGGTAATCCTCCCGTTTGGTACTTTCCTCTCGTCGAGTACTGTGCCGTGCTCCCAAATGCCTTCGCACCCCTCAATGTGTTGGGTTTTCGACCGTAACACAGCAAGCCACAGCACTCCAAACTGGGTTTGGTACAGTACGAACCCATTTCACCATCTTACCAGAACCGTACGAGTTACGCAGGAGGTTTCTGTCCTCCAATCACATCTCTCGGTAACAAGCTTAAAAAAATCTACTCAAAAATACTAGTACCGTGCTACCAATTAGCACACACTCCAACTAATACTGGTAATAGTCCCCCTGAACCAAAGTGGCTTATGAAGCTTAATTCACCTCTTCTCTGCCATACACGTGCTCGAGTACAAAAACAGGGTTTCCGGATATGCCACTCGAGTACCTGGTACCCTAAGCTGGTAGTGTAGGAACCCCCCTGGATATTCCTACTGCTGTTTGGACCAATACTGTACTCCTTGGGGCTCAGAAATTGAAAACACAACACCGTACCGGCAGAACACCTCTAGTCATGAAGAGTCCCGAAAGCAGATGTTCAGCCCCGCGACAAACGCGACGAGATGCGCTTAGGAGCCAATGGCCGGGGGTGACGGCTGAACTTTAGTGTACGAGTACTTGCTTGCTCCAATGGGGGAATGTGCCGCTCGAACCATGTATGAGTACTTCGCTAGTGGGACGTATTTGGTAGGTTCTAGTGGTCGAGGATAGCGATTCTGTGGACGAGTTACCGATAATAGGGGTAAGATGGTAGTGGAGGTGCGAGCTTCTGGAACCCTGGCATGCATGCCAAGGATTCTAGCGACAAGTGTGGTAACGAGATCAGAAGGCGTGCTCGTTACCTGGGCTAGGAAGAAATGGTAATCGCAGAGCTTCGCGAGCCGGTTAGTGGTGGATGCGGTTAGGTGGGTTCGAACCCAACTACCGGGAGGAAGATTATCAAAAGATATGGCGGTAGGTTGAACGATAAAGTAGAAAATCTCGCTAACCTTTTGAGATCTGCCGGTAGTACAGGCACTACGAGTATACTATAGATGAACCCATTCTTTCGGTTCCTGCTCGATTTGATTGGTAGTTCTTCGCTTAATCCCTTATTTGCTCTAACAAACACGCTTTAGGGTGCCCCCGATGTCGCGCATCCACATCTACGAGCGTGATACTAATCTCGCGACCGTATCGCTAGGGCTGGATGAGCTCACCGGCAGAGACCGATACTCTACTTGTATTGAGGGCAACCTCGAGTTACCCCCCGTATCCCACAATCAGTTTCCCAATGTTCTCGCGGCATCCGTCGAGAATGCCCGGGTTGCAGTCAGGGCTTCTCAGCTCTAAGCTGAGTCTCTGTATGATAAATTTATAATACCCAACTCATTAGCTAAAGTTATCTACCGACTACCGTATTATATCTGCCAGGTGCACATGTTTCTTCGTCCGGGTAAATTTGAAGTTGCTTGTACTCGGGGATGCCGCATCTACTGGTTTAATTCGACCCGGCGCTAGTGACAGCTAATCCGTGAGGTTAGCAGCTCCAGATGTGGTCGTGCTTTATAAATTTTTTTACGGTAAAAGTCTTCATTGCCACAACCTTGGCATGAAAATATCTACAATACCACAATCAATACCTTACGTAGACTAGTTCGGTCTCTAATTTTTACGCCCCCTTACAACTGTTTACATGAGTACACGCACCCCTAAACACAGGCCGTCCATCCATAGGTAGTTTGAACCTTGCAGACATAGATTCCTTGTATCGAATCTCGCCTGGAAACTCGGTAGCAGAACTTTTCATTGACGGAGCGGTCACGCGAAACCCCCGCGACTCCACCGAAGGAAGAGAAACGTTGCCCCAAGGCCGGAGCTGGATGGAGATCAGATAAGGCCCGCTACTGTAGGATCGGGGGAGGAAAACATCTGCAAGAAACTTAGGAAGGAAAGAAAGTGATGAGTTGTGTCGTGGTGAAAATTTTTCGTCTATAATACTGGTACTAGTCTGACACGTTGTGGCATTGTAGATATCTTCACGCCGGGGTTGTGGCATTGAAGACTTTTACCGTTTGTTTTATCGGAATTGCGGTATGACCACGCTTTCTTCCGCCAATGTTGTGCGAGTACTACATTATCGCTAACCTAGGTGGTCTTTGCACTGCCCTCAATCTGAGATAATTGCCACTACTGGTAGCGACGGGCCGAATTGAACCAGTAGATGCGGTAATACAGTGCGCTAGATCTAGCTTGAAACAAGCTCACTTTATCCGCCGCCCGGGGTTTAAATACGGTATGGTATTGGTAGGAGGCTACCGCACCCGGCGTCCTAATCTTCCCACACTTTGCGTTAGGAAATTCCCGACACGCTTAGGGGGGGGGGGGACTCGTGTATGCTGCGGTATCGTATCTTATTTGCCGCAGTCTAAAGAATTTCTCCGTGCTTGTGGACCCGTCAGTCAGCCGTTTTCGCGTCTTGTAACGATGTTTGCTAGGAAGAGGCGGTAGGTTGGAATCGGATACGTCCGGGTTGCTGTGGGATGGGAGGGCGCAGTGATCCCCGGAGGAAGACCTGATGTTGTACCAGTACAGTACTGGCAGCCGGTATGGCAGTTGAAATTACAGCAGTCGCAATGAATTAGGATGCTGAGGAACTCGTTGGGGTATGGGCAGAATATGTCCGTTTGTGATACCTTGTGATACAGTGCTGCTCTCGCCGGGTGATGGGTACCGTATATGACACTAGGGGGTCACGACATGGTGGCGGTGAGGAGACCCACAGGGTGTCGATAGCAGGGGAAATTGTTTATCCGTGTCGAGATTTTATCCCGCTCGCTCTAGGAAATATTTGAAAGGAATTCTGCGACTCTTTTGGAAAGGGGGGCTTGTATGGATGGAGCACTGAATGGCATTCTACATTTGGAGTATGGAGAATCGCTTGCAGCTGGGCGTGCGGTTACATGTCGTGGGTTCTCTCATGATGATACAATATAATGATGTCTTCTTGCACATTTCTTTCCACACCCCGGTCTGTCTTGTTTATTTTTCTCTCTGCTTTGGATTCTCCTTTCTACCGAGATCAAATGTCCACTCTTTCCTTTTCACTCGGGTTAGTAGTTATTAGAGCAGTGCCCCCCTGATCGCTCAGAGTAGATATTACTGCTATATGCTAACCCACTCTGACCTCAACCTCCCCCGTTTGCTGATACCACCATGGCCACTCTTCGCTAGGGAGAACGTTGGTAGTAGGTTAGGGTTAGGGTTTCACTCAGTAGATTCCTATTCTTCCTCGGACGACATAAGGCAACGCCAGCGCCGTCGCGTGGGGGATAGTGTACGAAAGAAATCGGTGGTGGCAGGTTGGACGCATTGTGAGAATTACTGAGAGTAGAAAAATTGACAGCTTGTCACTTCAGGTCGCTCCTCTTCAAGCTGCTGTCTATTCCTACAAGATGCTTGTAATGGACCCTACCGCACTGTACACCACCACACACCACCGAATCATGGGAATGAAGAGCGGGAAGGAAGATGATGTGGACCAAGTCTATCCAGAACTCCAAGAAAGGAAATGGCGAAGAAAGGGAAAACGAAACAAAGGTAGATACATAGCGAATAGCAATAGGAAAAGACCTAACATATTGGATTCTATTTACATCCAAATCGACGGAGGCTTTGACTGCACCAACCCCCCCACTGGGAAATTATTGAAGGAGTAGGGATATTTCTGTCAAAGAAGGAAGAGGTAAACAAGAACAACCAAAAGAGAAAAAAAGGCAATGAAAAAAGAGCAGGAAACAATAAGTGCGAGGATTGATCGATTGTTGTTAGGGGGGTCTACCGGTGGGGGTGCGGGCTGGCCATTAAGGTCTGTGATGTCGGTAGTAGGGGTATGTTCCAGTAGGATTCTCACAACTCCATAGTGTCCTTTAGAGAGAGCCCACGACAGTGGGGTTTTGTTTTGGTTATCTGGCGTGGCGGTACAGACCCCCTTCCGTTCTAGAAGCACTTTTACTACCGCCTCATGCCCGTGCTCAGCGGCCCAAGATAGTGGTGTTTGGCCACATTGGGTGTCTGCAGCATTGGGGTTGACATCTTGTCGTTCTAGGAGCATCTTTACTATCCCCGCATGGCCGTGGCCGGCGGCCCACGAGAGCGGCGTTCGGCCACACCAGGCGTCTGTCCAGTCAGGGATATCTACTCGTTCCAAAAGTGCTTTCACTACCCCCTCATGCCCTTGCATAGCTGCTAACGAGAGTGGCGTTTGGCCACACCAGGTGTCTGTTAGGTCGGGAAGGACATCTTTCCGCTCCAAGAGCATGTTCACTACGCCTTCATGGCCGTACTCGGCGGCCCACGAGAGTGGCGTTCGTCCATATTTGGTGTCTGGTTGGTTGGGAACGATATCTTTCTGTTGCAGAAGTATGTTTACTACCCCCTCGTGCCCGCCTTTAGCCGCCCACGAGAGGGGTGTCCGGCCCGATTTGGTGTCGGCCTGGGCGGGAGAGACATGCTCTGGTGACAAAAGCATCTTTACCGCCTCCTCATGCCCATGCTTAGCGGCCCACGAGAGTGGAGTACGGCCATATTTGGTGTCTACCTGGTCGGGATTGACA